TATGAGTAACTGGCTTAATCAGTATTTGTTGAAGAGACTGTCTTTTCCTTGGTGATCTGTAGTACTCACTCTGTTATAAGTTCAATTTCCATATATGGTGGGTGTGTTTCTGGGCTCTCTCTTCTGTTCTGTTGATCTCGTTGTCTGTGCCGTTACCACACTGTCCCAGTTACTGTAGTTTCATAACATGACTTTTGATGTCCGGTGGGACAGACGTCCTACTTTTTTTTTCAGGAGTGACTATTATTCTTGGCTCTTTGTTCTTTGATATAAAACTTAGAGCCTGTTGGACAAAGTCTACAAGAACTTAGGATTTTTATTGAAATTACATTGAATATGTAGATTCCTCTGCTGAGAATTAATATCTTTACAATATTGATCTCTCCATTTATTTAGCCTTCTTTAATATCTTTCAGTAAAGATTTATCATTTCTTCATTAAAAGACTTGCATAGCTTTTGTTAAATTTGCCAAATTATTTTATAGCTTTTTTATTACAGAAATGTTTTACAATTACCTTTTCTGTTTTTTTCCCCCTTTAAATATAACAGTTCAGTTTTTACCCAGCAGCCTCACTAAACTCCCCTATTAATGTTGAAACTTTATAGGTATTTCTTGATTTTCTATAAATGATGACAGTTTTATTTCTTCCTTTCTAGTCCTATACTTGTTTAACTGTCATGGGCTATGATTTCTAGCACGTGGTTAAAGTAAAGTGGTATTGGCTTATATCCTTGTCTTTTTCTAATCTTAAAGTGTTTTGAAATTTCACCGTTAAATGAGATCTTTGTTGTAGATTTTTGTTCTTGATATCTGTTTTCCCCCACCCTCCCACTTGGGACTCACATTCCGTTCTGAGGAGAAGAAATGAACAGGAAAATACTTTCATTTCCAGAGCCTGTCACTGTGCTTGGTACAGTACAGTTGTCAGTTTGTTGCATGAGTGAATGAATGCAGGAGGACTACTTGAGCCTTATGGTTGTCATTGGCTCTGGTAACGCAGTTCAAAAATCCTTTTAAGTCTTTATCTTAGAGAAAGAGTGAAAGTCATTAATATTTGTATTACCTTTCTAATGTTTCGGGAGAGGAAATTAGCACATCGGATTTTAGGATTTGAATACAAATACTTTGGAGACCATATTTTCTGTTTTAAATGGCGGTAATGCTTGAACTACTGTAAATTAAGGACCCATTTAAACTATATGTGAGCAAATTTTAGGCTAAATTTTTTGAAGATTTAAGAACTTTGTTTTTACCTATTCATACTTTTATGAACATCACTGTGATCTAGATTAGATTTGGAAATTTAGTACTGTGAAGTTTCTGATTAAAGCCTGAGCAGTTAATGATACTAATAACCAACAAATTAGTTTGTGAAGTCTCCTTTATAATTCAGATTAGACCCCTTCTGCTTTTCTGCCTCTCCGTGTACCTGGTATTTTTTTTTTTTAACAGATGGGGAAATTAAGGCATAAAGGTAGAGATTCCCTGAATTTGGTGTATTGCTTACTGCAGTAGACCACTTTGCTTCTGTGAGAATTGTAAACTACTATACTTTCCAGGTATGTGCTGAAATTGCCATTGCCAAAAATCTGCAAGTCTTGCTAATAAAGAAAACTCTTACTCAGCCATTTTGTGTGTTTAGCTATATTTAGGACACCTACTTCTGAATTTGTAGAAAGAGAGGTATGGTAGTTTTGCTAGAGGATTATTTTGTTACAAAAGGAGCTATCCATTTTTTTGCTCCCTTTAATACCTCCTTCCCACTCAGTGTTGGCCATTGGGCACTGGTTCTGGATCATTGTTTCTCAGTTGGGGGTGATTTTCCCCACAAAGAGACATCTGGCAATATTTGGAGACATTTTTGTTTATCACAACCAGAGGGGAGTGCTGCTAGCATTTAGCGGGTAGAGGTCAGGGAGAATGCTAACCATCCTACAATGCACAAGATGGTGCCCCACAATCAGGAATGAAATGGCCCAAATGTCAATAGTGCTGAGGTTAGGAAACCCTGTTTTTAGACAATGCTGCTTATTTTTGGTTTTGAAATGGAAAGAAAACTTTAATGCTTATTTTTTTTGAAAGACAAGTATTGGTGTTTTAGAGTAGACTTTAGAGCTGTACAGGCAAGGTGTTCAAATCTTGTCTCAGTTCTCATTGGCTATATGTACCTACATTCAGGTGTGTGGGAAGGAGAAAACAGATATAACAGATTGTAGCGTACTATGTAAATATTATATGTATCCTCCCTTCCCACCTGAACTCCATATACCAATGACTCAGTTTATGTTGTACACTCCTCTGAGACCTTAGATTTTTACACCTTTTGGTTTTCAGGTTTTTCATCTGTAAAATGAGGATAATAGTATTTATATCTTAGATTTTAGGAGGATATTTTGTGAGAAAATGCAAATAAAGCACATGCCCCTATTACTGGAATGTATTAAGTACTTAGTAAATATTTGTTATTTATAATAACTTTACCTTCAGATTGTAATCATTTGTATTTGCTATCAGAAGTGATGTCTGTAAGTAGGCAATATTGTCCATCAACTGATGAATGAATAGACAAAATGTGTTCTGTCCATACAATGCAGTATTATTTGGCCATAAAAAATATGAAGTACTGATAGTTGCTACAGCATGGATTAACCTTGAAAACCTTAGGCTAAGTGAAAGAAGCCAGTCACAAAGACCACACATATTATGATTCCATTTATATGAAACATGCAAAATAGGCAAATCTATAAAACAGAAAACAGATTTCTGGCTACTTAAGGCTGGGGGAGGATGGGAAGGGTAGGGGGGTTATAGCTGAAGGGGTTTGTTATTGAGGTGATAAAAATGTTCTAAAATTAACGTGGTGATGGTTGCATGACTTTATGGAATATATTAAAAACTGTTGACTTGCAAAGTTTAAATGGATAAATTGGATGATATGTGAATTATATACCAATAGAGTTGATGTATATAAACTAGGAAAGGTGAGGGCTCTCTGTCCTTTCTCTGGGGTTGAATATTTTACTCCTTAATCTTTACCTTGCTCTCCATCTTCTGATTTCCGTGGAATCTGACTTAGAAAATGCATTCTGGAGAGCAGTGGAGAGAACAGTGATGTTGCTGGTTAGTACTCACCACTCATTCAGTGTGATGATAGCTGTCTCTACGTACACACTTATGATTTTACCAAATTAGAAAAAGATTTCTCATTCTGGCCTCTGTATCCTGTATGAGTTAACACCAAACAGCTGACAAACTTGAACATGTTTCACTTTTCTCACACATGGACATTTGCATGCTGAATTGCTATCAGATTTGTAACTGAGTTCCAGTATATTTTATTTGTATAAATGGATAACAAGTTAGAAAGCTGATTTTCTTTAATAAATGTGAGTTAGCTAACCGCAGTCAATGGCCTAGAGTTAGGAACCCATTAGGTAAACAGACACATGAGACCATTGGTACTAAAACATCACTAGAATTCAAACAGCTGTAGTGATAAATACTTATTAAATGGAAGGTATACTTGTAAGCAAATTCTATTTTGCTTGTATTTTTTGCTTGCAGCTGTCAGAATACCTCATTGAAATAGGCTTATGGGAATTTATGGCACACACTACTGAAAAGTCTGTGTGTGAGGGATGTCTTCAGATTGGCAAGGTGCAGTGTCAGTCATTTCATGATCTGGCTTCCCTTTACCAGGCTGGCCTCCTTTCTTTTCAGTTGACTTCTTAGACAGCGTCCCCCCTTACGGTTGTAAAATGGCTGCAGCAGTGCCAGGCCTTAAATCTTCTCAGCATTAAGACTAGCAGATACAGAGAAATAACCTCTCTTAATAGTAGAACACTCCTGGCCTGATTCATATTAGCCTGAGTTAGGTCTTGTGCTTGTTCTAGGACCAAAAGAAAGGAACATGCTGATTGGCTTTGGTCAGTAGTGCTTTACCCCTAGACCTGAGTGTATGGTCAACATTACCCAAAACCATATGAGAGTTTGGGATGAGGTGGCACAACAAAAGAATTTTGGGTTGCTTTTTGGTGTTGTTGTTAACCAGATGATTGAAGTAGATGCTGGATAGCAGGGTAGTTTATCTGCTATAATTCTAGCATGTATACTAGAACTTTTATCCTTGGTAACAGTAACTTTATCAGGTACTTATTCTGTATGTACCAGGTAGAATGAGTAAAAATCTTTGGGTAAAAAACAGGATTATGGTAACTTTTAGGCCTGAGTTATTCTAAAAGTTATGTTCCTGAGGAACCTTATTATAAAACTTTCTAAGTTTTTTGAAATTTGGTGTGATCTTTTTCCCTAATTTTAGATCCTCTTATCTTTAAGTACTCTATGTAGACGTCTTCAGTTCTTTGAACTTAGTACTTTTCTCTTGTCTTTCTAATACCTGTTTTACTACATCATTTTATTTTTTAAACTTAAGACTTCTAATTCAATACAAATCTAAAATCTTAGCTTTCTACTTCTGTAAAACAAGTTAGTATCCCAGTTAAATGCTCTTAACATAAAAAATACAGATAGAGTTAGCTTGACAAAGTGGACTGTTCTCTTGCATGTTCCTCGTAGCTCAGTCAGACTGTGCTCCTGGAGAGTGGCCGTATAAGATCTGATTACTTTCTGTGTTTGCCACGGCCAATTTCTCCTTGCTGTTGGGAAGCAAAAGGCAAATCATGTCTTTGCTAGCACATGTCATAAAATATGCGCTGTATTTAGCATCTATAATTGTAACTAAGGCTAGTTTCTAATGTCGGATTGGGTATAGACTGGGAGAGAGTTTTAAATATTTTCAAGTAATGAAGTGGTTATAAAATAGTTCAGATTATAAGACTTACAAATGAAGAATGATCTTTTTTTTAATTGCTGTTTGCTCTGTTAGAAATAGAACCTTTTAGTTTTATAGGAAAAGGTATAATAACTTAAAAAATAATAAAAAACCATTGGTGGCAGAATAGTGACAATCACTCTCTTTTTCTCATTTTTTCCCCGCAGTGATCCTGGTGGAGGGATTGAAATGTCTGAGTTCATTCGAGAGGCCACACCCCCAGTTGGTTGCAGTTCAAGAAATTCTTATGCTGGCCTAGATCCAAGCAACCAGGTAGGAACCTGTGATTTTATTTTGTCTTTTTCCCTTCTCCTGATGGTGGTCTCAAGTAATTCTGTCTGTAATAATCAGTTGGTGTTTGGGTTTATCGTGCTGATTAATAAGTTTTTGATTGTTTATTAATAATATCATTCTTTAGTATTCTTATTTTTAACTGAATTTTCACATTAATTAAGTACATTTTTGCTGAGCACACACGTCGTGCTCATGCCTAGGGTGGTTTTGATCATGACAGTTGTGGTGAATGCCCTTAGGAAAATTAGGTCCTTGCTTGCACTGTCTTACTAACTTTCACGTTTTTGGTATCGGAGGGGGATAGATGTTGGGGGTTATTCCTAGCTTAAACATGGCAAAAAAAAAAAAAAGATGTAATTTCTTCAAAATCTACACTTATCATGGTAGGCATCGAGTAATGTATAGAATTGTTGAAGCAATGTGTTGTACACCTGAAACTAATATAACGTATGTTAATTATACTTAAAACTTTCTCAAAATCGGTGCTGTTCAAGGTGTTAGTGGTAGAGCTAGATGTAGAATACAGATCTGCTTTTGCCAATTTTACTGTCTTTCTGTTCTGTAACTTTTAACTTAAAATAATAACTCTGAAAGTCTGCTCTCAAAACTTGGCTGACACCTGCTGTTCTGTTGTTCCGTCCAACCCCAGCTGGGCCTTCACGGCTACATTTCTGTCTCTCGTTGAACATCTCCCACACGAATCAAAGTCCCACTTACGCCTGCTTGCCTTCTCAGTCGATGAGTCTGGTAGCTGGAGTAATGCTGTAGAAGCATAAGAAAGTAAACCTAGCGAGAAGCTTAGAGGTCTTGTCATAGTCAAACTTTAGATAACTACGGGTTGTGGTGGGTTCTTCTGTCAGTCCTTTCATTATATAGAAGAGGAAAAAGCTGGTTTTTATCAGGGTCTAGCCCTCACTTCTTGATTTTCACTGCAGTCTTTCTACTGTTCTACACTGCTTATGGGTTGGAATCACTCTTCCTCCTTTCTGCTCCAGAGACTTCCTTTTTTTTTTTTTTTTCCCCTGGCCTAACTCTAACTTTTGTCATAACCATCCCTGTTTCTGAAGAGTTTCAGAGACCTTGTGGTATTGCCTCTTTCTCTCGCGGATGGAGTACTTATGTATGAATTTATTTAGCACTTTGTTTTTGGTGTGTGATCCTATGTGGCAGTGTGTAATCCTCTAAGGAGCAGGTTTTCCTCTTTCCTCTGTGGTCTAATAGACTGCCTAGTGCAGAGGTGACTTTCAGTGAATGGGTGCTAATTATCTTTATCTATACAGATAATAGAACTTTAGAGGTAGAATCAGACCTGGCTCTTTATTTAACAAATGATTAAGTAGCAGACCTAGTTATCCTTACTGTCCCACAGTATTACTGTTCCACATCGTTTAGCCCTGTACTATTTCGGAACGGTATTAGGGAAAACACCATATTCTGTGAATCAAAATCTTGAATAGGGTCTTGTTCCTAATATATTTTGATAGAAGATTTGCCTCTGTTTGAATTGTGTTTCATGATTTAAACTTCAAGTGCATGAATTTTTGGTCGCAGTTTTAGTTGTGATTAAGTGTGGTGTAGAACAAATATGTCCTTAAATTTGTCTTCTTTCTATAACAAGCAGATGGGAAATGTTAGAATTAAAAAACAACAACAACAGTGGGACGCCTGGGTGGCTCAGTTGGTTAAGTGTCAGACTCTTGGTTTCAGCTCAGGTCATGATCTCAGGGTTGTGAGAACGAGCCCTGAGCTCAGGATTCTCTCTGTCCCTTTTCCTCTGCCCCTCCCCCATGCTTGCGTGCGTTCTCTCTCTCTCTCAAAAATTAGTAAAATAAAAAAGAAGCATTACTGCCAAGGACTGTGACATTTTAATTAGGTCCATACCTTTTAAGTTTCAATTTTTACAATACCAGTTTAAAGAGAAGTATTACTATCCTTGATTCTCTTTTGGTTGGTCTTGCTTTCTCAGTCTCTCTATGAAATGAAATGACTTAGTCTTTAAATATGGCTGCATGTTTTGTATGCTTAATTAACCCTGGCCTTTGTCCATACTGACATATGTTGGCAATGTCAGATTACCAAAGGAGTTAAGCCTATGTTTTTCCCACAATCTTTTGGAGAGCCAAACTTTTTTTTTTTCCTTTTTTCCAGTAGGACAGTTGAAAGGGTGCAGCAGTGGCCAGCCATCTTCCGTAACTCTACCATGGCATCGTGTCTTTTGGAACTTGCCCTACTTGTTTCAGGGAGGGACTCCCATTCTGAGTGTCATTAAAGCTCATCTGCACATAAATACACAGCATACCTAATTTGGTTTTCCTTAAAATATTAACTCTTGTATAAAAATGGGCAAATACTGGAAGTTACTATGCTACTTGGATTTTGGATTTTATTTTGCAGTAAAATGCTTGTTGACCTTTTTCTGTCTAGTTGCAATGCCTTTTATGGCTAATTGAAAGCAGAAATTAGGAAAAATCAGGAGCATCAGGCTTAATAAATTGTTCAAAAGTGTTGGCAAAACTAATTTTTTTTTTTTTTGCCACATCAAAAGGTAGCAGTTCTAACCTGTTTGTATGTGCTTATTTTTACTCACTTTTTCACTGACATATAACTATTATACAACATAGTATACACTTCTTAAGTATACAGTACAGTGGGTTTTTACATATGTATACACCCCTTAATTGCCATCGAGATTGAGAAAGTTCCTCATGCCCCTTCAGACTCAATATTAACTTAATATTTTGAGCAAATTTTATCGTGTACTCCTATCAGTTGAATCAATGAAAGGAAAGATTGGGGGCTGCCTGGCTGGCTCAGTCAGGAGAATATGTGTAACTCTTGATCTCGGGGTTGGAAGTTTGAGCCCCAGTTGGATGTAGACATTACTTAAAAAAAAAATGACTTTTTTTTTTTAAGATTTTATTTATTTATTTGACAGAGAGCACAAGTAGGCAGAGCAGTAGACAGAGGGAGAGGGAGAAGCAGGCTCCTCGCTGAGCAGAGAGCCCGATGTGGGGCTCCATCCCAGGACTCTGAGATCATGGCCTGAGCCAAAGGCAGACACCCAACCAACTGAGCCACCCAGGCACCCCAAAAGATGAAATCTTAAAAAAAAAAAAAAGGAAAGATTTGGTAAAACACAAAGTATTATATGAATATTCTTAATTTTATTCTAAAATATTAAATTTGCTTGACTGTGTTCTTCTTAAATATCTTGAAAACAGGTATTAGAAAGTTACTAAGACTTGTGGATTTAGTAACTCTTGTTATGTTTGATTTCCTTAATGTGTTTGTGGAATTTGTGGTATTTGTTTATATGATTTTTATGGTGGTATAATGAATGATGGCTAAGATTTTAGGGAATGCTACATCATCTGGAATATAAGCATTAAAAGCTCGATAGGTTTTAGTTTTCTGTTTATAGTTAGTGCTAAGCAGTCATTTTACGTGGATCCCTTAGTTTTTTATTGTTTTTAAATATGTTATAGCATTTTACAAAGAAGTACTTACTTTTTGTCTAGAACTCAGGAAAGTACATATTGATACACTAACAGTTTGACAGTAAGATTTAGCTTGCTCTTTGTAGCATATATTAATGTGTGGTCCCAAACCTTCCTTTTATATGCCCTGATAAGTCTGAATTTGTTTGATAGACTTAACACCCAGTTTTGCTTTTATTTATAATATGAACGTGTCATGACACAATATAAAAAATGATAGTAATTGTATGACACGGATTGCTTGATGTTGGAGGCATCCTGCAGGCTCCGTCAGTCCCGAGCACGCAGAGGGATTCCGTGCCCTAGCTGCATCTGCATCGTACATGCAGAATGTTCCGCAGCAAAAAGGTTCTGTGGCTCTCATACAACATGCCCAGTGGGTATCTTTTAATACAAGTGACTGATAGCATGTTTTGATAATATCGTTTTGCTTGATGATCTTGGTAGTCCATATTGATCATGACATAGCATTTAATTAGTTTTACTTCATGTCGTGTTTTCAGATTGGATCTGGTTCCTCTCGTCTTGGGACAGCAGCAACTATTAAAGGTAGACATTAAGTTGGAAGTTGCCTACGACTTTCCCTTTCATTTTTGATGTAATAAAGATAACTGAGTACTATATATTCACACGTAATGAGAAATCATTCTTGAAATTATTTTGTAGATGCAGTTATGTATCTTATGTTAAAGGTTACTTGATTTAAATTGGGTTCTCCTTTCACCATCCAAATCTCACACATTTGAACATTTGCATTACATTGCATGAATTGTAAGTTTTGATATATAAGAAACTTCCTTGCCTTGAAGGAAAATACTTTTCATGGGTTTGGTGAGGTTTGTGGAAAACTGAGTAATTTAATGTGAAACCTTTAAATTGGGCGCAAATAAGACAGTAAAAAAAGAAGGAAAGTGTTTTTTGTATGTCTTATATGTGCCTTTTACATGCATCTATTCAAGATAAATTTTTTTACCCTATACTTTTTTAGGGGAATTTTTATAATTTTCCCTGGGAAGGAAATTTATATTGTTTCAAGTTGTTATTACATAATTTCTATTTCTTTTTAAAAAGTGCTTATTTTTTAAAGAAAGTTTTATTAGTTAACAGTATGAAGCTTTCTGTAATTTGGTTTATAGTGCTGTGAGAATAAAGATGTGGTCTCACTGTCCATGATGCTTCCTATTAGTTCAGTGCATCATCCATTATTGTAACCTGTGGTATATAAAAACTGCTCTAGTAGGCATCGTATACTAGTATAGTATATAGTAAATTAGTGTAGTTGATAGCCTTTCTTGTTATGCCACACTGTACAGCCTTTACTTTTAATATAATGTGTTCACATGTTTCTCTTAACTTTGTAGGAGATACAGACACCGCTAAGACTTCTGATGATATCAGTTTAAGTCTGGGCCAGAGCTCTAGTCTTTGTAAGGAAGGAAGTGAAGAACAAGGTAAGAACATTGTACTTCACACTGACGTTGTATATTCTGGTGACCAGGGTGAGTTTGTAGAATATGCTGCTCATATTTTGGCAGAAGTTTATAATAAATTAATATATTTTTAAGAAACATTAAAATAAAATTATTAACTAGGATAATAGTAAAACAGTGTTATAAGTACTTTTAGCTTTCTGGAACTCAATTACACATGGTCTGCTAAGTAGACATGGAGAGAAAAATTTTGTGAGCCTGTGCCCTGGAGTGAGTATGAGATGGGAGATAATCTGCTAGTCCGTAGTGGGTCAGAGCATCTTGCCTAGTTTAGTAACTTGGTATGTAAGACTGTTACTTTCCATCCAGTGTGACCTCTCAATGTCAATTGCTCCATATCTTACCCAACAGTATGTTTTAGTAGAGAACTAAGTTGCTCTTGGACTTACAGAGAAACTATGTCTGCTTCCAGCACGGTGCCTCCTATAGCAGATTTTTAATAGAAATTTGGGCTTTAAATGTCTTTTCTTTCCCCTTCTTTTTCAATTCTATTATAAATGAGTGTTTTGGATTTAATGGAGTTGGTTGTTTTTTTTTTTTAAGAATGCCACATTTTTATGTTTCATTTTTAATTTTCAAACATGAAAGGTTGGATATGTTATCCCGTTTTCAAATAGAGATTATCCCAATTTCCATAATCAGTGAGACAGAAACCTGTTTCCCTATTTCTAACCTGTTGTTTTTATTAGCCTATATGTGGTTTTTGGAAGGCAGGCAGACTGATAAGTTTCATAATTAAGTACAGGAAATTTATTTATGAAGTTACAAATAGGTTTCTAAATTATGACATTTTCCTGTTCAATATTTTACCTAGGTCAATTCTTACAAGCATGTTTTGTTTCTGGTACTTGGAATATAAGTTTATCGTGCTATAACTGCTTTTTGGAATTGCAGTACCGCATCATTTATTTGCTTTTGTGGACTACCCCTGCCAATATACCCCCCTAAAAAACTTCCAAACATACTGTATATTATAGAAACTATTTTCTTATAAAAGGTTAAGGTGAATTGATCAGTTTGAGAATTACAGTATCTTTTTCATGATATGTATCATTAGAATGTCTCAAAAATTAGGTAATGATCTTAGAGGGGCTAGTGCCACTGCATTTAAGGTCCTGTTTCTTTATTTTATATCTGGAAAGTACCATGCATAAGCAAGAATTTTGTAGTCTGTCGGGTTGGGAATTATATGCACACAAGCCTCCCCTACAGATACGTATTGACATAGATAGTGATGTCCAACACTCACTGAGCACACACTATTATTTAGGCTAGGGGTCAGCAGACTTTTTCTATAAATGGTCAGATAGCTTTGTAGGCCGTATGGTCTCTCTTGCAACTATTCAACTGCCACTGTAGAGTACAGGAGCCATAAACAGCACGTTAATGAGTGAGCATGGTTGTGTTACACTAAAATCTTACTCAAAAGCAGGCAGGGGGCCAGTTTGGCTCCATGGGTCTTAGTCTGTCAACCGCTGGTTCAGGTCTTCTTTTAAGCATTTTATAAGCATTCACACAGTTAATCTTCACTGTAAGCATTCGAGGTTAATAATACGATTCTCACATTATAGATGAACATATCGTGGCTTAGAAGTTATAAGAAACTTGCCCAAAGTCACATAGCTACAAAGTGGCAGTTCTATAATTGAAATCTAGTTGTTTTTTTTTTTTTAAAGATTTTTATTTATTTATTGAGAGAGATAGTGATAGAGAGAGAGCATGAGAGGGGGAGAGTCAGAGGGAGAGGCAGACTCCCCGCCGAGCAGGGAGCCCGATGCGGGACTCGATCCTGGGACTCCAGGATCATGACCTGAGCCGAAGGCAGTCGCTTAAACAACTGAGCCACCCAGGCGCCCCCTGAAATCTAGTTTTGAATCATGCTTTTAATTGCTATGCAGTTACACCACTTCTAAATATTTTATTTATTTATTTATTTATTTGACAGAGAGAGACACGGTGAGAGAGGGAACACAAGCAGTGGGGAGTGGGAGAAGGAGAAGCAGGCTTCCTGCCGAGCAGGGAGCCTGATGTGGGGCTCGATCCCAGGGCTCTGGGATCATGACCTGAGCCGAAGGCAGATGCTTAACAATTGAGCCACCCAGGCACCACTTTTAGATAATTTTGTAACTTCTATCATTTTAATATAACATTTAACAAATAACACACATAGCTAACATTTAACAGATATTATGTAGTACTCATTATGTGCTCTGAGCACCATTCTAAGTACTGGAAATAAATTAGTGAACAGACAGACAAAAAATTCTACCCTTCTGTGGCTTCCATACTACGGGTATGGAATCATACTAGCATAAATCAAATAAATATGCAGTAGTAGGGACAGGTGATAGGGAATGGTGGGGGCTGGGGGGATTTAGGGTTTAAATGGAGTGGACAGGGGAAGAAAGCCTTGCTGAAAGCAAAGACCTGAAGGAGGGGAAGGAGTGAGCTATCAGGATATTCAGGGGGAAGGGGCTCTCTAACAGCACTGGCAAAAGTCTTAAAGTAACAGCATGCCCGTCAGGTTTGAGAAACAGTGTGGTTGATGTGAAGGAAGTGAGGGGACAAACTGTATAGTCTTGTAAGCCATTTTAAAGATTGTGGTTTTGGGTGCCTGGGTGGCTCAGTTGGTTGGGTGTCTGCCTTTGGCTCAGGTCATGATCCTGAGGTCATGGGAGACTGCTTCTCCTTCTCCCTCTGTCCACCCCTCCTCTCCCTCTCACCCCCCCTTTTGCTCGCTCTCTCTCACGCACGTGCGCTCTCTCTCAAAAAATAGAATCTTTTAAAAAAAACTAAAGATTGTGGTTTTAATTCCTAGTGAGGTGAGGAACTGCTAAAGGGTTTTGAGCAGAAAAGAGTGTCAGGATCTCAATTACAGTTTTACAGAACCACTGTGGCTCCTCTTTTGAGATTAAAAGGAACAAAGGCTGAAGCAGGAAGCTCAGTTTGCAGGTGATTGCAGTAATCCAGAACACAGATCAGGGCATTGACAAGTAGTCTGACTGTGCGTGTAGAAGATATTAATGAGAGGCGATGTTGATGTTGATGGATTTGGATATATTATGTGAGAGAAATAGTACTCATGGATGACTGAAAGGTTTTTGAGTTAAGTGATGGGGAGGATGGGAAGGAAGACTGAGAAGGAGCAGATTTAGGAGCCGGAAGAGCATGGATGAAGGTAAGATAGGGAGTTCAGTATGAGATGCTGTTAGGTCTCTAAGTGGCAATAATTAGTGGATAATTAGGCAGGTCTGGATTTCAGGTAAGAAGTCTGGGCTGAGGTTTTAAATTTAGGAGTTTTCAGTGTATAAATACCAGAAAAATATAGTCATGTCAACTGTGGGTTGGGTTATCATGAAGTTCCTAAACTAACTGGGCAAGCCTGCATGGTTAGCCTAGCCTGGAGTTCAGATGTCCTGGCTGCCCTGATCCAAATTTGTTGGTCGTGGCTATGATTTGGCACCACCTAGTGGCAAATGTTCATTCTGGCTTAATTATCAGTTGGGGCTCATCGGGTTCTCTAGCTAGTTTGGGTTTACAGGACAGCAACGTTTAGTTGGTTGGCAGTTAGTGATTAGTTGGACTCATTTTATCAACGTGATTCAGCATGATTGAGAATGACCTGAGGATGTGGGGACGTGGGCTCTTTTTCACTTTTAAGAAGGGATTATCTACAGTTGCCCTCTCCAGCCGCAGTCATGTTTTCCCTACCCAAGATCGGTTCTTTAGCCTATTCCCATATGAGTGTGGGGGCTGGCAAGAAGATGGAGGAAGCTAGTTACAAGGATTCCTGAATTTTAGTTATCATGGGACCAGAATACTGGATGAGAGATGGAAATGAGGGCGTGTAGATGGAAAATGGAGAAGTTCCCAGGATTGAGCTTTGAGCCACTCCAGTTTAATAGGTGCAGGAGACTGAGTAGGAACAACTGATGGGGTGCAGGAAGACTTAGAGTGTTGTATCCCAGTTTCTCAAGGAGAGTGCAGTGCTCAGCTTTGTCAAACATTGCTCATAGGCCAGGTGATAGGAGACTGAGACTTGCCACGGGATTAGCAGCACAGAGGTTGTTGGTGACCTTGATAAGCATATTCTTGAGGGAGATCACAATACATATAGGAGAGAATTAGAGAAGGAGAGCTGAAAAGAGGGAATACAGACTGTTCTTGGTGAATTTGTGTAAAGAGGATCAGAGATGCAAGGTGAAAGCCAGCAGGGGAAGGGAGGATAAAGGAGAGTTTGGGATTTTATAAGAATGCATAAGAGAACAGCTTGTTTTTTATAATTGATGGAGATGATCCAGAAGAGAGGAGGAAATGTGGTTTTTGTTTATGAAGTAACATGTGTTAATTTTAGAAAAAATAGTTAATATGAAGAAAATAATTCACACTTTTGGCACTGAAATAACTTAATGTTTTTTGGTATATCACTTTTTAAAATTATTCTTGTATTGTGATATAATTCATATATTGTAATATTCACTCTTCCTTTTTTATAAGATTTTATTTATTTATTTGACAGAGAGAGAGAGGTAGTGAGAGAGAGCACAAGCAGGGGGAGCTGCAGGCAGAGGGAGAGAGAGAGAAGCAGACTTCCCACCGAGCAGGGAGCTCAATGTGGGACTTGATCCCAGGACCCTGGGATTGTGACCTGAGCCGAAGGCAGCCGCTTAACCAACTGAGCCACCCAGGCATCCCTGCAAATACACTCTTAATATTCTTTTTAACTCTTACAGATTGGAACTGTATTTTTATATAGTACCATCATTTTCACTTAAGTATTTTTTCTCATATTAATATATGTAATCTTTGAAAACATTTTTAGTGCCTGTGTGATGTTTTAATAGACAATCTAATTTATTCAACCTTTTTTTATTGGACATTTTCATACTTTTTATGTTTTGAGTTTTATAATAACCTGAAATGAGCATTTTTTTGCTAAAACCTTATATACATACCGGATTTTACCCTGTGGCAGCAACTTCTAGAAATAGATTACTGATCATGGGTGAGTATATTTTTGGAAGGCTTTTGGCCATATTGCTAGATTGCTGGTTACACCACTTTGCACCAGGATGAGCAGTATGTGAGCGTGGCTTTCTTATCCTAAATGCCACTAGTAGCAGTCATTGAAAAAAAGTTTACTTATGAAAAATAGTATCTCTTTGTGTTGATTTGAGCCTGTCTTTGACTGTATTGCTACCAGTAAGAAAGATGTCTAAGCAAGCATATTTACTTGAAAATTTCTAAAACCCCCTAAGGTTCTTCCTGATAAGATTTTATTTTTTTATGGTATAGTTAGCAACATTGAAAAAAGTACATGTATTAAAGTAAGTTTGGCTGTGTCTTTTTAAATGAAAAAGTTATATTTCTGGTTTATTGATGTCTTGGAAGGGAATTGGTTTTGATTATTAGCATTTTTTAAAAAGTCTTGTATATTAGAATTAGTGATTTTCAGTTACTTGTTCAGTTAAGTCTTTTTTCTCTAAAATTCATAACTTTGAAATGTGAATATCACACTTTCTAATTGCTTATTATAGATAATAGAGTTTTTATAAATAACTGTTAAATTTAATATTTATATAATTTAATATTACAAAAGAGTAAATATAGTGCTAACTTTTAAATTTTGGTATTTAGAGATCTAAGAACCCAAGTACAGTGGCAGCTGTTTTGGACAAATGATAAAGAACATGAATTTTACTTATGTTGAAGACTTTAAAACGTAAGATAGAGCCTGATAGGTCATTTATTAATCAATTTATATGGTATATTCTAGAGGCTGTTTCTAAGTTTTTAATTATTTAAATCTAGTCTAGATTTAGATTTTTTAAAAGTACATACACATTTCTAGTAATTCATTTTTATTTTATATTAATCTTAGGGGGAAAGGTATGCTTTTATTGAGATTCTCCTGGGGAGATCTGACTTAACTGCACAATCTATCACTGTATTTTTACTATTGCAGTTATAACAAATAAAATAGTCATTTTTCTTTTTATTGAACTAACAGCAGATTCAGCCATCCCTGTCTGTCAAAAAGTATATAAAAAGTCAGCTGTTGTACAGTTCAGTTGCCAAGCTGTATTTCAAGATAAATTACAATGTAGATAGGTAGGTGGATTTATTTATATCTGTATACATAGTACATACGGTAATTCAAGTCACTAATCACTGCCCTAAGTGGAGGGGTAAAGGAATGGTCTTAATAGATATACAGGGATAATGTATATTTTCATGAGGTAGTTTGTACTTGTTGCATGAATGATGAAAGAGAAAGTGCGGTATTTTGCTCCACAACTATTTTAATCTTTTCGGTCATTGTGAACAGCAAGATCTTACAATCATTATATCATGTCTTCTTTGGGGATTTTTCAGCCTTTCAAATTTTTTTTTTTTCTGTTTCAAATTACTCTTAGGGTTTTGTGTTTTTTTTTAAAGATTTTATTTATTTATTTTTTAGAGAGCGAGCGAGAGAGAAACAGCATGAGAGGGGAGAGGGTCAGAGGGAGAAGCAGGCTCCTCGCTGAGCAGAGAGCCCGATG